TCCCCAAACCCCACCCCCTACCCCCAAATATAATCCACTCTGCAACCCTCATTGCGTACTCCTACGGTAAAAATAATGCCCTAAAATATATTCTTAGCCAATACTTTCAAAGCAGTCTTAAATTCTTCCTTCATCACCATAGGCTCTTGCTCATATGTTGTTTCATTAAGTTCTTCTGTGTCTGCCAATTCCTTTTGGTATAATTACTGTGTATACTCTTCAATGTCAAGAAGACAAAGACAAAGACAAAGACAAAGACAAAGACAAAGACAAAGTGGACCAATTGGCAGCATCAGGATGGATGGTGAAGAGATTGAGATTGTTCACAGCTTTAGTCTGCTTGGCTCCACAGTCAAAACTCTTGACATCAGCAGCCAGGAAATTAAAAAATGTATTGTGATGGGAAAGTCTGCTGTTAGGGACCTCTCCAAAGTACTGAAGAACAATGGTGTCTCTCTGGAGACTAAGGTGTGTCTGATACTGGCCATGGTCTTTGCAATCACTTTTTATGCATCAGAGAGTTGGACAATGACTGGGGGGGAGGGTAGAAGTAGAATTTATGCCTTTGAGCTTTGGTGTTGGAGAAGAGTATTGAGGGTACCATGGACTGCTAAGAAAACAAACAGATTCATCCCGGAGAGGGTTAAACTGAGCTGCTCCTTGGAGGCAAGGATTCTGAGGCTTCGTCTGACACTCTTTGGTCATGTTGTAAGGACAGACCGGTCCTTGGAGAAGGACATCATGCTTGATAGGGTGGAGGGCAGGCACAGGAGGGGAAGGCCCTCTAGGAGGTGGATTGACTCAGTGCCTGGGGTAATCAGGATGGGTGTGTCAGAGACAGTGAGATTGGCACAGGACAGAGTAGCGTTTAGGACTCTTGTACATAGGGTCGCTATGAGTCGCAAGCGACTCGATGGTACATAACAACAACATACTCTTTCCATCTTCTTTTAATACTTGCAGGATCGCTCAATATTCTGCCCAAAGCATCCTTTTTTTTTTCCAAAGCATCCTTAAATATTGCAACTCGAGGCTTGAATTTCCTCTTCAGCTCCTTGAGCTTAAGAAATGCTGAGCGAGTTCAGCCCTTTTGATTTTCTGACACCAGCTCTTTACACATTTCATTGTAATACTTTACTTTGTCTTGTCGCGCAGCCTTTTGAAATGTCCTGTTCAGCTCCTTAATGTCTTGATTTCTTCCTTCCGCTTTGACTTCTTGGTGTTCCAGTGCAATATTCAGAATCTCTTCTGACATCCATTTTGGTCTTTTCTTCCTCCTCCATCTTTGCAATGATCTTTTTCCTGGATGATACTCTTGATATCTTCTCATAACTCATTTGGACTTCGCTCATTAGTTTTCAAGGCCTCAAACCTGTTCCTGAGATGATTCTGATATTCAGGTGGGATAGACTCAAGGTCATATTTTGGTTCCTGTGGCTTGATTTCACTTTCCTTAGCTTCAGCTTACACTTGCATATGAGTAGTTGGTGATCTGTTCCACAGTCAGCACCAGGACTAGTTTTCACAGCTGATATTGAGCTTATCCAGCAGTTCTTTCCACAGATGTAATCTATCTAATTCCTATGCATACCATCAAGTGGAATCTATGTGTATAGCCTGCATTTATGTTTTTTGTAAAAGGTATTAGCAAGGAGTAAATTGTTGATTGTACAAAATTCTATCATCCTATCTCCAGCTTCATTTCTGTCACCAAGTCAATGCTTTCCAACTACTGATCCTTCTTCTCTGTTCCCAACTTATGCATTCCAGTTACCCATCACTATTAATGCATGTTGATTGCATTTCTGATCAATCTCTGACTGCAGAAGTTGTTAGAAATAATTTATTTCTTCTTCTTTTGCTCTGGTTGTTGGTACATATATTTGAATGATAATGGTATTTATTCACTGAACTTCCTTGTATACATATGGATATTATCCTGTCACTCACAATAATATATTTCAAGACACATTTAGAAATTACTTTTTAAAATATGAAAACAACCCCATTTTTCCTCATCTTTTCATCTCAAGCATAATAGATCATATGATCATCTGATTCAAAATGTCCCATGCCAGTCCATCTCATCTCACCAATAGCTAGTATGTCAATATTTATATGTTCCACTTGTTCCTTAACAATTTCTCACTTTCCTGCATTCATAGTTCTCACATTCCATGTTCCAACCACTTACAACTGTTCCTTCCTCCTTAGTATTTCCATAATGACCATTTCTACAATTGGGAAAGATCTTTCATCTGCATTGTTTTGTAAAATGCTTGTCTGTCAGGTACTTTTCTAAATCTGAGCATTCAGATTAAGACCGATTAGGAAGAAGGATTGGCCATCCACTTCTGAAATAGCAAGCCTTCGAGAATCCTATGTACAATAGAACCTATGTACATTGAAGTATTGAACTACTTTTATTTAAAAATTAAAAACAGAATACTTATTATCCCATATTATTGATAAGAATTAATGAGATATTCTTAAACTGTAAAGAATAGGTACTCTGCAATATTTGTCATAGTGTGTGTGCAAGCCATGCAATTTGCCTGCACGTATTTGAACTGTGCAAAAGTACATGACAGTGATCACTTCTCCACAGCACTTCCAATGCTAATGCATGAGCAGTTAACGTCAGCAATCTTTTGTATGTCCATGCAAGAGGCATGTGTTTTTTTCTGCCTACCTTAACAGAACTCTATTGAATGTAGATTCTTAGATAATAATGGTAACATATGATTCATTCTAAATTAAAATTATGTGTTGATTATTAGAAAAGTCAGCATTGATAGTTAAGTATATAAAATTTCAGCAGATGTCAAATTCAGGTTTTGGATGTAAATGACCACTGAAACACAGGAATAGAAATAAATGCATATAAATACTTACGTGGTTATATATTTAAACCTGCAGGAAACAAACTAAACAAATTCAAGAGCAGCTGAAAGAAGCACAGAATGGCAAAAGTTACAGTCTCAAAGCAACCAGCACAATGGCAAAAGCAGAGACCTTGGCCAAAAGTCATGTGCAGCTGCAAAATGTGAGTTCCAAATTTAGCCAAACCCTCTCACAACCTACTTGGATGCTCTTTGTCTGAAGGGATGAGTCTGAAATAAAATGAATGCATGTTTTTAATCCGTATTTCTTATGTCTGTATATATGTGTGAATGTATATGTATGTTTGGATGGATGAAAGAAAAATGAAATCTCTATAACCATTTTTAGTATAAATGAGTCTGGTAGTGGTAGAAGTTCCAGTTTATGCTTTTTTAAAAAAAAAAAATATAAACCTTTGTATTTTATACTGGTTTACTTACAAAGTAAACCCACTCCTCCTTCCACTCATCATTGTGTGACTCTATGATTATGGCCCCCATCCATCCTCACCTCTGTATTTCCACCTTCTCTCCCTGTCCCACTTAAATCCTCATGCACATTTTACAGGATACCTATTTATTCTTTTTTATTTTATTATTTTGTGTGTGTGTGTGTGTGTATTGTCAAATTAGATCTGACTGGTACAGGAGGAGGATTGACCCTCCTTCTTCAGCAGAGCATCTGATGGATTTGAACCACTTACCTCTGGGATTGCAGTGCAGCTTCTTACTAGGCCACCAGAGCTCCCTCTAGTTACCTATTTCTACAATAATTATCTTATACAGTATTTGTCCTTTTGGGACAGAGTTCACTTAGCATAATGCTCTCCAGTCCCTTCCAAGATAGGTAGTGATTTACAAAATAATTGCTCTTGATTTCTGTGTAATATTCCTTCATGTGAATGTACCATAATTTCTCAGTCCATTCAAATTTGGTTAAACATTTGGGCTGTTTCCATATTCTCTTGATGATGAATAATGCTTCTGTGAACATTTGGAAATAGCATTTCAGACAAAGGCTTCATATCAAAGTTTATAGAATCCTGAAAATCTTCACACACACACACACACACACACACACACGACTGGTGGCTGATAATTTTGATAACACATTTATAAAACTGGCAAAAGACATGGAAAGATTTTTCACAGAGGAAGATATTCATATGGCCAACAAACACATGAAGAAATGCTCAAAATCACTAGCAATAAGAGAATGCAAATCAAAACCACAATGAGATATCATCTCACTCTAGTGGTAGTGGCAAAGTTTAACAGGATAGCAAATAACAAATGTTGGAGACCATGTGGAGAGATAGGAATTCTTATTTACTGTTGGTGGGATTTCAAAATGGTACACCAGTCTTGAAGGCAGTTTGGTGTTTCCTCAGAAATTTTGACATAGAAATTCCATGTGACCCAGATATTCAAGATATGCACTGAGAAAATGAGAACTGAAGCTGAAATGGATATTTGTACATCAGTTTATTCTTAAATGAACATTAAATATTTATTATGTGCCTGAAGTTATGTCAGACACTAGACAGATAATATTCCCTGATCTGTAAGAATTGGTGGTGCCAAGAGAAAAACAAACATTACACCCAGAAGGAGTGTGTATGCATAAAGGGCTAATGTTGCAGTGGATGCTGAAAATGCAGAAACCATTGAGGATAGCAGGGCAGACCTACAGGTGCTTCACAACAATTTCAGACTTGAACTGGGATTTGAAGGACAATAAAGGCAGTGAAAACACTAGAAACAAGCAACTAGAACTGCTCGATACGAAAAGACACCTTAAATTTGGACATATTTAATAGATTAGTTGACTAACATATTAAATTGATGAAGATAAACAAATCATACCAAATGAGGGAAACTATTAAGATGATCCCAAAGATACTCTGCTAAATCCAAGCAAAGGCTTTTTTATGAGGGTCTGAGTTTTGTTGTAGGCAATACTTACATACAAAAGACCATGATTAGGTTAGTATATATTTCTAATTAAAAGCTTTTATGTTTGATTCTGAGGTTCCAGCACTTGACTACAAGGTGATTAGAATTGTGATTCATGGGAATCATTAAGGACATGCCCAGGCAAATGTTTTCGTTTTCTGTGCATGCTCTTCCATGCCTGATGAGGCAATCTTCTTTCAATTATGCTAATTCTGAGGCAAAATCACATGTTTGGTTTGATGATTAGGAAGAAATTCCAATTTGAGCCCCTCTCAAGGAAAAAAATACTATATAAGGCCAGTATTGTTGAAATAAGTAGTAAAATATGTATGAGGATCTAAGGGGAGGAGGTTAACAGTAGAGGGGTGAGGCTGGATGGAGGTGAGTAATCATAGGGTTGCACAATTTGATTGGTGGAAGGAGGGGTAGGATAAAGAAATGGGAAAGATCTGGTGTGAAAAACAGTGCATATGGACTTTGTAAGTAAAGCAGTATAAAAAATGCATATTAAAAAAGGAATAGGAATAGGCTTAGGGTTCCATTACAGACCCCATCCAACCAAGAATTTAAGTGCTTCGTATTTAAATGCTAATACAATTTCTTCTCTCATCCTTCAATTTCAGTAACATTGGCATTGGCTCATAATAACCTAACACAAATTAGCTTTCCTATGCTAAAAATAGCAACAGAAGGGGACTACCTTTCTTTCCCCCTAGGAGATTTGAACTGACAATATACCACCATATCTCCTTCCTCTTATCATGGATTTTGTTAAAAACACTTTGGTCACACTTATGTGGTGTGCTTTCTTCTGAATAGTCTGGTAATGGTTACTTTAGCTTTTAGGACCCCAGGCACCATCCTTTTGACAGTCAGGCACTTTTTTGGAAGCAGAAGTGGCATTCACTTTAAATTTCTTTACTATGCCTTTGTGCGTCCAACTCAAAGACAGATAGATCAAATCCATATTCAAGAAGCTCAGCAAACACCAAATAGACTAGACCCCAAAATAAAAACATAATGATATAGTCAAATTATAAAAAATAAAGGATAAGGACAGAATACTAAAAGCAACATGAGACAAAGAATTACCTGCAAAGTAAAAACAAGACTTAAGTACTGATTTCTCAGCAGAAACCATAAGAGCAAGAAGACAATGGAATAGCACATACAGAAAGATGAAAAAAAAAAACAATTGCCAACCAAGAATCATACATCCAGCAAAGCTCTCTGACAAATGTGAAGGAGAAATCATACCCTTTGCAGAAAAGAAAGAACTTAAGAAATTTGTGAAAACAAGATCAAATCGACAAGAACTTTTAAAGGAAACACACAAAGACACCAAAAGAAAATGGAATGGCAATTGTAACAAGAAACAACAAAAAAAGAAACCGAAAAATGGCAATGTTAAAACCTCACCTATAAAGAATCACACTTAATGTGAGTGGACTAAATGCACCAGTCAAGAGAACAAAGATTAGCAAAGTGGATGAAAAAAAATCCCATCAAAATTTTGTCTATAAGAGACACACCAAGAAATTAAGAGAAAGATATACTAAAAATAATGGGGGGGGGGGGAATCTATCAAGCAAATGGGATCCACAAAAAAAGCAAGAGTGGCAAGACTAGTTTCTGATAAAACATACTTCAGAATAATGATTAAAGGCAAAGTATATCTAGAAGACTGAACATTGGTCAACATCTATGCACCAAATGATAAGCTTGCTAATTGCATAAAGCAACTGTTAACAGAACTGAAGAAAGAAATAGACAGTACCACAATAGTGGAAGGTGACTTTAACTAACTACCCTCACCAAAGGATAGGTCAGCTCAAAAGAAACTTAACAAAGAATAAGAAGATCATAATTACACCAACTCAACATTGTAGATGTGGTGGAAGCACTGCACCTAACTAAAACTAAATTTACATTCTTCTCAAGTACACATATAACATTCTGCAGAATTGGTCACATATTAGGGCACAAAGCAAGCCTCAACAAATTAGAAAACACTGAAATAGTACAAAGTATCTTCTCAGACCAATGTCATGTCTAGAGATTAACTGTAAGAGGATAAAGCTTATAAATTTGGAAGTTAAATAACACCCTGCTAGAAGACGAGTGCATTGTAGAAGAAATAAAGAATGCAATAAAAAAATCCTGGAAACAAATGAAAATTAAAATCCCATGTACCAAACTTCTGGGATTCAACTAAGGCAGTCCTCATGGTGCAGGTGATAGCAGTAGGCAAACACATTAAAAAAAAAAAAAAGGAAAAGCAAAATTAATGTTCTAACTCAACACCTTCATCAAAGAGAAAAAAGGGGGGTGGGAACCCCACGATAAACTAACCCCACAGCCTCTGAAAGAAAGGAAATTGTAAGATCAACAGCTGAAATCAATGATATGGAAAACAGAAAATTAATGGAAACCATCAATAAATGAGGAGCTGCTTTTTTGAAAAGGTCAATAAAATTGACAAACTACTTGTAAACCATTGGTAACAAAAGCAGGGGGGGAGGAGAAGACGTTAATGACTTTATTAAGGAATGATAGAGGTGACATCACAATAGAAAGAGAGAAAATGAAAGCTATAATATCAGAATATTATGCAAAGCTATACTATGATAAATTTGAAAACTTCCAGGAAATGGACAAATTACTTGATACTCTACCCATCAATTATTGATGCTCAAACCAAATTAACATGAACAGATGTAAAACTCTTGAAGATACACACCACAAAAAAAGAAGTTGAGCAGAACATAAAAATACACCTCCACAAAAAAGTCTTGAACCAGATGGCTTCATAGCTGAATTCTACCAAAGATTCAAAAATGATTTATCACCAACTCTTTTTGAGTCATTAAAAAAAAACCAAAACAAAACAGAAAAGGAAAGAACACTTCTGGAGATAGTCTATGACGTAAGCATAACCCTAAAACCAAAACCAGGCAAAGATGTTACCACAAAAAGAAAACTACAGACTAATATCTCTAATGAACATAGATGCAAAAATCCTTAACAAAATCCTAGACAATAGAATCCAAAAACATAAATAACAATGATTCAGAACAGTGGGATTGAAAACAGGTCTGCAAAGATTGTTTAACATAAGAAAAACAACATAACTCACCACATCAGCAATCCAAATGACAAGAACCATATGATCTTAGCAATTGATGCAGAAAGGCATTTGACAAAATCC